CTATTTAAATTTCATTTCTTTTGATGTCTAACGTTGACCACGTGCAATCTCGTATTTCTGCCAACAGCAAAGGCTTAAGAAGAAATTTACGTTCCATATTTTCTTCTAAATCATCCGCGAACGCATGAATGCACGAAGATCCAAATGCGGTCTCGTTATGCAGCCTCTCTATTTAACCTTTTGCGCTGGCAACTGGTTCACGGACCATAACGAGTGACCACAAACCGTATACAATAATTCATTCCTTTTGAACCACCGTCGGTATAATATCACTGGATAGAAATTATTACTAAGAAGTAATAAGTTTATTATTTGTTTTGCCTGGGTTTTAATTTAAATATTTACACTTAAAACTGAGAAAATATTGCAATTTTTTGGGACAAAAAATTCTCGACAATATGTTCTGTAAAAGCTAACCTCTTGCGCCGGCAACTAGTTCCGCGGACCATAACGAGTGACCAAACTGTATACAATAATTCGTCGCTTCCTTTTTGAACTACCGTCGGTATGATATCACTGGATAGAAATTATCACTAAGAAGTAAATAAATTTATTTGTTTCGCCTAGGTTATATTTAAATATACTTAAAACTGAGAAAATGTAGCAATTTTTTGGGACAAAAAAGTTCTCGACGTGCGTGGCATTTCTCGTTGAAATTATTTTTTTCTTTTCTCTTTTCATAAAGCAAGAAGGCATACTTCGATATACTCGTGCTACGTCAACGATTTAATTCCGATTGGAGAACTGGGTCAGAAAGTTATTTCTCTCGTCGAAAAGACGGGGACGAAGCTTCGGTAGCCTTTCGGTTACAAAAAGAACCCGATACCACGTGAATTTCTTACTTCTTCCTCACCACCAAAACGGACTTCCGATCTTTCCCTTCGTATCGTTTCGCGATTCGTGCTTAACCAGCCGTCTGAGCACGGTTTGTCTTTTGTTCCCTTGCCTCGATGACAATTTCAACGTCTCAAAGTAATCAAACATATTCCCGTAGATCTGCAACGATATGAAAATTGGAAATTCGAGCAAATTCTTGTGAAATCTTCTAGTTCCTTCAAGTTCAAGAGGACATTGAAAAATATTATAATTAGTCCCTCGTCGTTTCGATTCACATACGCGATTTACATACAGCGAAGTGAACGTTCCCTCTAGGGTAATTAGAAGTAGAAGTGCGCTTTATAAAGAGAAAGGTGAATAGACGTGAGACTTCTTTGTCACACTCGTGCCGTAAATACGACGTAAAAATAACGTTGTTGTGTAACGGCACCGACAATGGTTATTTTTACGTGAAAAACTGCGAACTTTGCCTCCTCGTTGTCGGCGAACGATTATCAACAGTCGAGGCCGATCACGCCGATGTGTTTCGTTTTATTTGTTGAATAAGTAACTAATCTAAACCTAGCCTACTTCCTTTGACGAACGATCAGTGCAACCTCGGCTTCGAAAGCCAGCATATTTTAAAAGACTCGAACAGAAGAAAAATGGCGAAAAATTTCGTGAATTATTATTATATCTCTCTCTACTATTCACATACGAATGACCAAAATTATAAATCGAATTTTTCAGAAACACAAATATCAAATATATATATATATATATATATATATATATATATATATATATATATA